ACTGTTGGCCAAGAGCAACCCTTCCAACCCTTCCACACATCACCAAACCCTTCCCAAAAAAAGCTGCAATTGTGCTGGTGATGCATCTCTTCCAGTCCATTTCACCCTTTTTGGGGTGGCTTTCTCCAAACCCCCGTTGCTTGCAAGCCAGGTGACCCCCGAGGAGATTTTGCTCTGGTGAAGGTGATGAGCCAGCCATGCCAAGACTTTCTTCCACAGCAATTCAGGCTTGTGACTGTGTGCCCTGCTGCCACGTGGCCCTTCTTCTCCTCCTCCTCACGTCTGGTTCCACAGCCACGGGTTATTGTGCAATGAGCCGGTGGCAGCCACAGCACGTAACTGCACGGAAAATAGCAGAAGGAAAGTATGGGGTGTGTATTTTTAGCTTATTTTCCTGCGATTTAGTAGTGGGAAGAGAAAAAAAGAATAAAAACTTGTTCCATGAGACTTAACAGAGTCTGGTTTCCTATGGATTTGTGCGCTATAGCCCTTAAATCCCACCTCTCCTGTGTTGTTCTCCACCCATCTGACAGGGCAGGTGGCAACACAAACCAGGCTTGGCCAAGGGGCCAGCCCCTGCAAGTGCTGATGGCCTGAGCACTAGACACAACACTGCACCATAAGTGACTTTTAAGGCATCCTTTGCAGCTCTCACCTCTGCTCAGGCACTGACTTTCACATCATTTGTAGAACATTAATATTTGTGACGTTGATAGTTGTCTGCCAGCTGGACCAGAAAGTTCTCAGGTGATGGTTCATCACCAGACAGCACCATCCCATCCACCGTATATACTAAAAAAAACCAGCTTAAAAAGAGGGTTTTTTTGGATTCTACTCCCAAATTCCCAACATCCACAGAGATTTGCAAAGCAAGGACTGGGAGCCCTTCACCAAGGATGTGTAAATGCAGTCTTCCCATCCCAAAAACCTGAAGGTGCCTGCTGGCATCCTCACTTTTCCATGCCCAGGCCAGGACACAGCTCCAGCTGTGTGTATTGAGTGGTTTGGGACTTGGCTAACCCAGTGGGCAGACAGGCTAATGCTAAACTTGTGTGAAGACGCAACCAAGCTCAAAGCCTGGGAGTGTTTCATCCGCTACCAAAAGATGACATCAACTGGACCAAAACTATAAACAACCACTCCAGTTTGCCAGAGCCAGGGATTACTAACAGCTCCGTTTAATAGTCACTTAAATTATCATCTGGAGTTTTACATAGTGTTACAATGATTTTTGTTGTTGTTGTTGTTGTTTAAAATACTTTTTTCTTTTTTTTCTTTTTTTTTTAAGTAATTCAGAAGGGTTTTGTGTTTCTCACCACGTGGCTATCCCACCCTAAAAGCACCCTACTTTCAATCTACAGTAGTAAAACGTCACATTAGAGTTTTAATAGAACATCAAAGAACATGAATTGTAGCCATCTTAGTAAAGAAAAAGGACCAAACCATCTTTATATGTTAAATAACTCCACGACAGGTAAAAGGTAAGAATGTTATTACAGGGGTACGGGTGCAGCAAAGAAAAGATAACGACCCAGAGGTTCAGCTCAAGTGAATGATCGCTCGTTAATTTAGAAAGAAAACAAGAAGAGAGGGCAGAGGAGCAAGGGAGGTTGTAGAAATGGATGGAAAATGGTGTCTTCTCCAGTTTTTGTGTGGTTGGCAGCAATGGGAAGAACCAGGAGTCCAAGAGAGAGAAAATACTGTGCAGACCCAACAGCAGGACCCCACGGCAGGCACGGATGGTGGAAGCTCTGCAGGGAAGGGCACAGCTCAGGGATCACCCACGGCTCTTCTGGGTGAGCAAACCCCATACAACACATCTCACCAAGGCCAGGTCTGCAGCCATGGCACAACCTCCGTGGTACAACCTCCCGCTCCAGACTGGGCCCCCGTGGCAGGCTGCTGGCATTTGTCAGAGATGGGCTCATAATTAGTCGAGGGATTTTGTCAAGAAAATCCAAATTCGGGCAAAATTTTGACTTGCAAAGCCAGAGTGAGGAAACGAAGAAGGAAACCTTCACAAAGCCAGGGCCATTGTGAATACGGCCCCGCAGACATGTCCCGACAGCAGACTGCGTGGCCATCATGGGATGGGGATGCTGAGTCCCATCCAGCTGTGCCAGGGTGCTGCTGAAGGACCCTGGATGGGTGCCTTTCCTCTCACTCTCCAGGTGGTCCATCTCCCGGCCCACAGGGAAGCTGGGGCTGAGGAAGCAGAGCCCAGCCCAGCTGGCTGATGATGCTGAGCAGTTTTGGCTGACCACATAAGGGCTTTGCAACGCGAGCGTGGAAGCGGAACAAAAATATTGGCAGAGCCTTAGTGCAAATCTTGGGGCTGGATGAAAAAGTAACCTAGGCAGGTGAGAACATGTGGGGCTGCACCTGAGTGCTGGGTTCAGTTTTGGGCCCCTGACTCCAAGAAGGACATGGAGGGGCTGGAGCATGTCCAGAGAAGGGCAACGGAGCTGGGGAAGGGTCTGGAGCACAAGTTTGCCGAGTTCCCTTGTGGCTGAGGGAACTGGGGGTGTTGAGCCTGGAGAAAAGGAGGCTGAGGGGAGACCTTCTGGCTCTATCCAACTCCCTGAAAGGAGGGTGGAGAAAGGTGGGGGTGGGTCTGTTCAACCAAGGACGAAGTGACAGGACAAGAGGAAATGGCCTCAAGTTGTGCCAGGGGAGGTTTAGATTGGATCTGAGGAAAAACTTCACCCAAAGGTTGGTCAAGCACTGGAACAGGCTGCCCAGGGAGGTGGTGGAGTCACCTTCCCTAGTGGGATTTAACAGACAGGCAGACGAGGTGCTCAGGGACATGGTTTAGAGATGGAATTGGTAGCCTTGGGTTTATGGTTGGACTTGGTGATCTTCAAGGTCTTTTCCAACCACTGTGATTCTGTGGGCATCTGGGGTTTTCCTGATGTCACAGCGAGCGGCTGGCAGACTGCATCGCTCCCATCCCTGCTGCTGCACCTAGTCAACAATAAAGGACAGGAGGCTGCTACCCACAGGACAACAGTCTGTGGTTCATATAAAGGCCACATAAGTGGGATTACTTGGTGAACAACCAACTTACATCCCGGCCAGAGCAGCTTTCCTTCAAGCATCCCTCCAAGGCGTTGAATGGAGGTGCCCTTTGCCCATCCCTGGATGACCGTCCAGCTGGAAGTTAAAAATTGTCTCAGCATCCACTGGGAGAAGCAAGAGAATAAACCAAAGTGTCTTGGCCAAGACTGCTGCTGGCTGGAAGGAGCGATGGCTCAGTACGGATCACCTGCCCACATCTATCTGTGCATGGAGATGAAGCTGGTCATGCTCGGAGCCCCAAGCCCTCGGCAGCATCAGGCACATCAAAATATAAGGAGAAACATGTGAGAAAAAGCCAAAAAGATCAGGTAGATGTCCTTCTTGCAAAGAGCAGGTGTTTGCCCAAGGACCTCTGCCAGACACATTTATTGCAGAAACAACATTGGGATGCTCAGGTGATAGTGGTGGCTGCTCCCAGTCCAGGCCAGATGACCCTGGAGAAGAGGTCTGCCCATGAGAAGGGAAGAGAAACGCACTGTGTGGTCCTACAGGAAGATACTGTTGAGCAAATACTGTGATGCAGCACTGCCAGCTGTGACCAGCTGTGGACCACAGCCACCTCCCTCTCAGCATCACGCAAATATTCGAGCCGTGTCCTTGGCAGTTAGCAAGAGGAATGAGGCAGAAAATCAGAAGAGACAGACTGAAGATTGCTCCTGCCAAGATTAAAACAAAAAATAATAATAATGAAAAGGAAATTTCTCTCTAAAGAGGCATCGTAAAAATGCCACTGTAGGGCGCTGGCTTGTCCAGATCAAAGATGAACAGCTGGCAAGGCTGGAGATGTCTCCTCTGCAAACCAGGCTGGAAGCTGCAGCTAGAAGGAAGCCATTCCCTGCCACCAACACCCTCAGTGGAACGGGGTTTTGGAGAACAGTTGGCTCTGAACCAAGCCCAGTGTCCCAGGACAACCCCAGTTCTCTGTTTGTTTTTTTTTTTAAAGTGACTTTTTAAAGTCATGGTGAGAGCTGCAGATGTGAGCCTGAGCATGGGCAAGCAACACCCCCAGAAGCCTGCTTGTCACGCCATGTCACCAAGCCCTCTCTGCGACCAGGACCTCTGGGACCATCCTGGACCACTGTGTTGGGACACGCTACATCCCACTCTTCTCGCCACGCAGGACCACAGCTACAAGGTGGGTGGTGCTGCAGGAAGCCTCGTCCACACCGTCTGGGTGGTGCTCTCCTGGCTGGGGCTCTCCTGAGCAATAGTTTGATGGTCCTTCCAAGTCTTTAATGGTGGGTTTAAAAAAATATATATAATGGAAAGGATTTTTAAGTTGACTTCCCAGGGATGTGGTCCCACAAGAAGAAAGCTCACGATGTCCAGCTGATCACTGGCCCTGAGGGCAAGCTGCTTTTGCTCTGGAGGACTCTGCATCTTGGAGCAGACATGGGCTTTGACCATGACAGAAGAATGTCAGGAGATGGGCTCACTAGTGCCCCTCTCTCCTCGCCCCAGCTGGTAACACCACACCAGCCATGCCCTGCAATGGTATCATCACTTGGCCAGGCCTCATCCAGACCTCATGCTTTACAGTTGAAAAAAAAAAAGAAGAAATCCCAACACTCTTGGCCATCCAGAGGCTGTTTTGCTCAGCCATGAACATCAACATCTCAACCTGACCTGCATGTCCTGCCTCCACTTCCCAGCCCTGCATCACCTGCTCTCCCACCCTGGCTGTGTCACCCTGTTTCTCCCATGATTTAGTGTCCCCCACACTTGAGGATGGTCCCCACAGCCAGGGTAGGGATGGGGCAGGAGGAGAGGGCTGTGCCCTCCCAACCTGTCCTCTCCACCGACGCTGAGGAACCTCTTGGCAAAATGAATAAAACAAAACCAAGAAAACTGGGTCCCACAAGACTTCTAACTAGAAAGGCTTTTGGCCAAGTCAAAGAAGAAACTAATACTGAGTCAGTCCTGCACAGGGCAGCCGGTTTCACTCCCCAGTCCAAATTTTTGCCTCCAGAAACATCATCGACACCCTCCCCTGCTGTGGGTCCGTGTATAAAACCCTCACAAATGCCCGTGGGAAGGCCAGCGTGAGAGTGGGCATCTGCAACCCTCAGTAGTCCTTGTCACCATAGTCATTGTAAAGGACGCTCAGCGTCTGCTCCTCGCACGTCTTCTTGAGGTCCCGGCTGAGCTCTGACCAGTTGAGCCCGTAGGGCTTGATCTCGCTGTAGCGGCAGGCGAGGTACTTGAGGGACGAGCGCTGGAGGCTGATCTTGGGCTCTTGCAGGAGGCCGTTGCACCAGCTGCTGAGGTCTCCCAGCTGTGAGAGGATGAGGCCGGCTTTCCTGCAGCGAGGGGAGATGCCGGGGGGATGGACAGCGAGGGGGCAGCGGGGGTGATGGAGACACCACGGGAGGGATGGTGAGAAGGGCAGGAGGAACGTATGAGGAGAGAAAAGCAAAGATGCTTAAGGATGCTGTGGGAGCTCCTGGAGGGAGAAGAGACAACGTGAGAGCTGGGCAGCGTGGAGAGCAGCTGAGCAGAGCCCAACCCTGTCAGGACAAGGAGGGATGGTGGGGCTGGGGGGATGTGCCAGCCCCATGGAAGATCTGCAAGCCTAATTGCACGTGACAACAGGCCCTACCCAGGTCAGAGATGCCACCACGGTGGCGCTGGACCTGCTGCACTGGCCTTAGGACTTGCCTTACATTACTGTGCCTTATCCCCTTTTCTTCCACCCTGTATCATCCTCACAACAAGGTGAGGTTTGCTGAGGGTTTAGTGAGGGGACAGTCACAGGTGTAGCTGTGAAACCCTCAACAACCCAAGGAAATGGTCCTTGGGATGGACATCATCATCAACTCAAATGGCACCACCAGTCACTGTTGCAGCTACTGGACCCCAAATAAGAGGATGGGAAAATGGGAGCCAACAGCACTGCAGGCAGTGGGGAGAAATTTTAGAAGGCATCAGGCATGACATGTGAGGCCAGCCCGAGGCAGTGTCACCACCTGTGTCCTCTCCACAAGGTGCACATGTTGCATGTATGGGAACGGTGCTGGTCTCTCTTGGTTTGCTGCAGGACATCTTCAGTGACATGGCAGGAAGGGTAGGGAATAGGCAAGCATGCCAGGAGCATTGCTCCCTTGCCACCACATGGTTGAATGGGATGTGATGGAGAGGACATGTGAGGTTTTGGGGACCAGCATGTAGAGACATCACTGAACACACGTATGTACAGTCTAGCTTAAGGTTGCCCTCCAAAATCCATGTGGGATGCAGAGGATGAGGTAGGCAGTGACTGCCCAAAAGAATGGAAGGAAAAAGAAGGAGCTTTAGGGGAAAATAAACCTGGAACACTAAAAATATCACAGCTGGCATCTGTATTAGTCTGGCATCTGGGGGTCTGCATGGAAGGTTGAAGGTGAGATAAAAAATATGAGCCTCATAAGATGCAATATCATAAGATATAAGTACAACAAATGACCCTCCTGGTCTGTGACTTGTAATGTTTAGGACATGTGTCAAACTAGACAGAACAGACTGAGGAACACAACAGAGGTGTGATCCAAAAAGCTCTGAGAGAGCAGGGGATGTGCTGGAGCTCCCCAGTTCTTTGCATGTGCAGTTTCCATCTTCTAATTGCAGACAGCAGAACATGGAAAAGCAGGACATGGTGGCAGTGCTTTGGGAAAGAGCCACAACCCAAACAAGGAAGCCAGCAGAGAAGTGACAGAGGGAGAGGAGGTCCAGGAGGAAGCCATCTTCAGCAGAAGACAGACACGCAGCACCTCCAGGGCAAAAGAACCTCGGTGTGGGCTTGTTTTGGTAGCAAGAAAGTGATAAATTCCCAACTCCTCATGTTGGATGAGATATTGGAAGGATCCTGACCAAACGTGACCTAAATTGTGTTCTCTCCTTTTCACATTTTTCCTCTTAAAATTGTGCTTCTAATGCTTCTATCAAGAAAACCAGTTTGTTGGGATAAAACACATCATGTTCATTTTGGGTGATCTCCAGGAAATCTGGCCAATGTGGAGGTAATGGATTCAAACAAAGTGTCTTTGCAGGTGAGTATTGCATGTGCTTGGAAACCCAGACCAAAGTTTAAGTGTCTTAGGAGCTGGGATAAGTTTCTTAGCCAGCTTCAAGGGCAGCTTGTGGGTTGGGATAGACAGGAAAGAGAAGATACATCCCTTTGGTCACCATAACTCAGCATCTGTTCAGCGTGGAGGAGGCAGCAGAGGCACAAATTGTGATGATGGGGAAAAGAAACTCTGTGACATTCTTGTTGGGGTAAGAGGGGGTGGCGTGTGGAGCACATCGTTGTCTTGTGGCTGGTTTGACAACTCAAGGATATGCATACTGACCATAGAGTAGCACCTTCCTCCAGGCCAGGTCCACCATGGGAGAGTTGCTTGGAGAGGAATGAATTTACCCCAGGGCCAGCCACCACCAACCTTGGCTTTCCTGGAAAGGAAACCCTCAAGAGGTCCATCACAGTGCAGATGGTCATGCACAGCTCATCCCTTGCTAGCCCTCTTCAGGTGGCTACAGCTCTGAAGGGCCAGTCTGGAACCACCAAGAGGTTGTGCAGCTCTGTAACCACATGGTACCTGCAGCCCTGGGGCTCATATCCAGACCACTGTGGAGAGATGCAGGTGCTTAGCACAGTGCTGACTCTGGAGATAGCCAACCAAGCTGCCCAGGTCTTCCAGTCATTGGAAGGTAGCAGATCTCTCAGTCCTCTTGTTCCCCACACTGAGACACCTAGGCAAGGTACTGCGGTTGTCTCTCTTCCTCCAGCATCACAGGTGCCCTAACAAGAACATTGAATCTGATTCCACAGATTTTGGCCCAAAGCCTGTAGACACCACCAGACTTCACCAAGGCTTTGCATCAAATCCTACTTTCACTTATCACTTGCTAGAAAACATCTTGCCTTTCCCTTCATTTCTTCTCCTTATGCAAAGTCCAGGGCTCTGCAGCTCTTCTTGAACTGGAAATGACATGCATTCATAACCCCACACAAGTGACTCCTTCCTTCAGTCCAGCAGCTGAGCAGAGTCAGAAGGTGACATGGCCACGGGGACAAGGATGAGGAGAAGGAGGGACATGGTAGCGTCGGTCGCGTGGGTCCACATCCTGGACTTCAAAAGAGCATCGGCAACAGTCAAACAAACACTCTGTCTGCTGGCTAAATAATGTCATCTGCAAGTGATTTGTCCTGTCACCACCAGTCTGGCTGCTTCGCCCTCACAGACGATCAAACAGGAGGTTTGCTTTCCAAGATTTGTCATCACCAGAAGCCACTGCAGCTGCTGAAACGTCTCTTTCCAAGCAGAGCGAGCTGCAAACACTTCATCAGCAACTTGCGTCATCCCATCCTAAGCACTCCAGCATTTCCAGAGGGTGGATTTAACCCTCTGGCTCGTAGATTCACGCAGCAAACGGCAACATTTTGGGCAATTCAGTGGCAATTGCTGGTTGCTCCATGCCAATGCACCTCTACCTCATGGGGCTCAAGGAGGCAGCTTCCACCCCATGTTCTGGCTGGTCCTCGGTGTCCTCACTGAGGCAAGGAGCAGTGATGGCAATGCTCAGTCTCAGCAGTGGCAGTGGCTGTGTGATGACTCCAGTCTGTCACGTAGGGAATTTTAAGTAGTCCTCACGCAAACCATCCCAACAGATGTCAGATGGTCTGTGCAAACCGGGTCTGGATTTCACATCTGGAAATGGAGACAGAGCAGCTTCACCACAGCTGGGCTCAAGATGAAGGTGAGACGTAAGTTTTAAGCCTTCCGGTCCCAACTGGTGTCGTGGGAATGAAGCAATCCTGGGCAGAGGAGCTGGTGGGAGCCTCAACCTTAACAAGAAGCCTCCATGCGCTGGGATGTCGCTACTGAGCTTTGAGGCTCTGCCTCAAAGACTTCAAACTTCTTAGAACATAAATGAGAGAAGGAGAAAGAGAAGAGAAGAGAAGAGAAGAGAAGAGAAGAGAAGAGAAGAGAAGAGAACCCAGCTTTGACCCAGGGAGCAGAGGAACTCTTGGGAGTTTCCCACCAAAGCTGAACTAGGAGATATGCTTAAGAGACACTAAATGCAGGACAGCCACCAGCTATTTTGATGAGTCTTTCTGACCCCCTAGCAGAGGTTTGGAGGACAGAGAAGGTACATGGAGCATCTCCAGTTCTCTGCTAGAAATCCACAAGTGGTCACCTGGAGAAGCAGGGCTGGAAGACAGCTAGTGGTGAGACCAGCAAGAGGAGGTGTGGGGCAGGGGGTAAAGTGGAGGTCATGCATTTCATAGATGAAAGCTGTTGCTGACGTATATTTGAAGTAATCCTGAGTTCTGGATGGGTTCTTTGGTGGCCAGATGCTATGAAACAGCACTGCAGCCCACACAATCTCCCAGCCCAGTTTGATTAAGTGACTGGAAACATCCATGTTACTGGGAAACAACGCAGACAAAAGCAGATGTGGAAGGACATGGGGAGAAGGGAACATCTGTCTGCCTGCACAAGCCTGGGGCATAAGGCATCCCATCCCAAGACATCTGGAGGGGCTGCAGTGACCTGAAGAGGCCCAGGGAGGAGACACGGTGCTCACTGAAGCATGAAGGGACTGTCTCAGCTGGGAAGGGCATGGGGCAACCTCCCCCATAACCTGCCATAGCAGCTCAGCACTTGCCTGGGCACCAAAAAGACTTGTGTCCCTGAGATCACCCCACATGACCACAGACATGGATCAGAAGGAAGGGGACACACACGCAATTCAGGGCCAAGGACAATCCACTGCCTGCTCTGGACCACAAGTGACAGTGAGTTCAACTCACAGAGATGCACTCAACTCAAGCCAAAGCCCAGGAAAAGGAGGAAAGCCAAGTCTGACCTTCCACATCCAAGCTCTTCTGTGTCACCTTCTCCAGTAGGCTTGAAAGTACAACCTTTCACCTTCCTCCTTGCACCTTCTTCCCTCCATCAATGCCCAGGGCCCTCTTGTAGCAACGTGCTCCAACCACACTTCCTCCTTCTCATCAGCAATCACCTCCATTTCTCAAAGATGTCCTATTTTTCTGAGACCTTCTGCCTTTTTGCCTGCAGCAGCAGCTACTAAAAGGGAAAGAGAGGATCCTGTCCTCATCCCCTTCTCACCCTGCATGGCATGAAAGGACTAGACAAAACTCCAGAGACAGTATAGGGCTGGTGAGATGAACAAGGACGATGGATTGACAATGGTCTACCGCTTCCCACCTTGTCCTGTGTTTATGGTCCTTCAAGGGAGATGGCTGGACCCCAAAGATAATCACAGCATCCAGCAAAGCAAGAAGCCCACTGTGAGACTCTAAGCTCTATCATCAAACAAATTTATGAGATTTGCCAGAGAGCCACCTTCCTGGTGACCAACATCTCTGAGGGCTAAGCACGCTGGTGGGCAGGCCTGTCTACCTAGCCAACCCAGCTCCTCAGCCTACCTGGGTCCCAGCTCATCTTCACAGCGCCAAGTGAACTCCCCAAAGCTCTCGTAGTGCTGGTTGTAGTGGTAAAGGACTCGATGCAGGCTGGGGGAACCCAGGTCCAGCAGAGTGTTGTAGGCTGTTTGCTGCTCCTTGCCGCTGGTATAGCCGTTGAAGAGGTTGTAGATCTTGTCTGCTATTTCTGGGCAGAAGGACATGGGGGATACTCAGTGAGGTGCAGGGACAAGCATGAATAAAACCCACCAGGGTAAAGCTCAACTCCAGGGAAACAAAGACCAGAGTCAAGATTGGTCCCCTTGAGTTATGATATATGTCATATCAAGACAAAGTCCCAATGGAGAAGCAACAGAGTAGATGGCATTCCCTGGACTCACTCCAGGTTAGGTTCCCATAATTTGGTCTAATTAGGTGGCACCATCAGGTAGTGTTAGTGAAATATCATGTCTTTAGGAGAAGGCACACAACTGGGGTTTCTTGAGCATGGACACCACCTATGCTATCAGTTGCTTTCTGGAGAGGACAGGTAGGTCTCCTCGGCTGTTTCAGTATGTCCTCAGTGCCTGCCCCTCCACCCATCCTCCCACCATCACAGAGAGCCTCTGCGTTTGTTTGCAGAGAGGATGCATGCTTCCTGCTGTGCTCCACACCAACCCTCAACACCACATGGCAGCACCTGGGTCACCACGGGTGAAGAAGATGTCACAGCCAGGACACAAGACATGTGTGGGGACATGCTGGAGGGGGGGAACTCCCTGTTGCTGGTCCCAAGCATCACAGTCCAGCAGCTCCCTCCATCTTACCTTGAGCTTTCACATCATCTACCACAGGGCAGGGGGTCTTGACTGTCACATCACTGGACCTGGAGCGTCTTCCTGTGTTATCAACTCCCCAGAGTGTGAACCTGTCCGAGAAGGAAAGGAGTGAAGCTCTGGACTCCCAAGCCCTCATGCAAACACTGGCAGCATCAGGGCAGGAGCTCAGGGTGACAGCGCTGCCATGGGCATGTCACAGGGGAGGTGACTCACATGTAGGTGGTGTCGGGCTCCAGGCAGCGCACGATGAGGGAGATAGTGGAGGAAAGTCTGTCGGGCACTTGGGCTGGCATGGCACAGGGTGACTTGGCGCCAGAGATGATGTCGTCCACGAAGCTCAGCACCGTCTCTAGGGAGAGAGGGGAGGACATGCCATGGGTGATGACACAGGTGTCCTCAGGGCCGTGGAGAGCCACTGAGGTCTGTGCTCACTACCACGCTGCCTGGTGCTGAGGGGGACTAAGGCTCATCCATAAGGTTGGTGCGGAGATGGACCCATTGCTTTTCCAGCAAGGTTCATCACTGGGGTGTGGAGCTGCCACTTCTGCAGCATGGTGGGCAGGAGAGGAGCTGCCTTCTCTTCCACAGGATACTGGTTATGTTGCAGCATCCCCTTGCAAAGAGGGAGAGAGAGGATCTCCTCCAACATCTCCATCCCACCCTCCCCAGAGAGAACTAGTGGAGTCTCCACTCACCGGTCTCCACCTTGGAGTGATCCATCCTGTCGGTGACTTTCTCTTGTCGGAGGAGGTAGTCGACGATCTGCACCCCGATGGGGGGCTCGGAGTGCCCCCACTCCAGCACCACCAGTGTGCTGCTGGGCTCGTGAACTGTGGAGAGCCTCAGGCTGGGGAGCAATGACAGTCCATCAGCATCTCAGGAGTGCAAGGTCCACCAGCCACCCCAACTGCCCACCCATGGTCACCCTCACCCATGTCTATCAGCGCCCTGCTGCTCTTTCGTGCCATAAAAAGGCAGTAAAACCACCAGGCTGAGGGGGACAACCTCTCCAGCTGGTCCCCATGGCTGGTGCAGAAGGTAGCATGAGTGTGTCCTTCCCATGGTTGCTAGTACCACTCACTCTGCTGTGCAGATCACACACAAATGCACCAGCAATGAGTTGGTTTCTGTAAGGCAGTACCCAGGGACAGTTTTTGCATGACCCTCTCACAGCAAAAGGGCTTCAAAGCCAAGGGAGATAGCAAGCTCAGGACAGAAGTGACTCTCCTCCTCCTGGCTCTGGGCATGCTGGTCCCAAGGGCTCCTTCCCTGAGGTTGCTCTACCAGCATGGATCCAAAACCAGCTCCCCAGTCCTCAGCTGAATTTAGAAAAGACACTGCATCTCTGCACCCTCTGCCTGATTTTCAGGTCACCCATCTGCTTGCAAACCTGTCCCATAAAGCCACCCCGGTCCCACCACCTCCTGCCACCACGCCGTTGGCCATCGCCACCTCCTCCCAGACCCATCACACCAAGGGGTCAGGCTGGACATGCGTGGAAACCTACATAGGGTGTGGGAGAGGTGCACAGGTGGGCAGCCCATCAGCCCCAAAGGCACTCGAGTCACAGCGGCACCAATCCTCGATCACGTCCCCACTGCCTGAGCACCACAGCGAGCTCATGGTGGCCTCCTGCAAGAGCTGGGAGAGAGGAGAAGGAGGTGAGCACTGGAGAGGTGAGCTCCCACCCTGCTGTCACTCAAGTCAGCGCTCATTCATCTCCCAGTGAGGGAAGCCAAAATGATTCAGCACAGTCCAACCACCCTGGAGAGCAGAGTTGGCCAACAGGCAAGAGCTGCAACAGCTTGACATGATGCTACCAGGGCAAGCTGCTTGCAAAGACCACCCTGATGCTGTCCTATCTCCCAGTGAGGGAAGCCAAAATGATTCAGCACAGTCCAACCACCCTGGAGAGCAGAGTTGGCCAACAGGCAAGAGCTGCAACAGCTTGACATGATGCTACCAGGGCAAGCTGCTTGCAAAGACCACCCTGATGCTGTCCTATCACCCCCTGCACCCACCCCACCACCCCTACCCGGCAAATCCTCACCCGCTGGGTCTGGTTGTTGGTGACCAACTCACAGCTTGACATGATGCTACCAGGGCAAGCTGCTTGCAAAGACCACCCTGATGCTGTCCTATCACCCCCTGCACCCACCACACCACCCCTACCCGGCAACTCCTCACCCGCTGGGTCTGGTTGTTGGTGACCAACTCGTAGATGGGGGCGGCTTTGGTGACCTCCAGCAGGATGGGCTCGGCTGGCACGTCGGGAGCGGAGGCGACATGGCAGAGGGGGCAGGAGGAGGGGCAGCGCCCGCGGCCCTGCCGCCGCCCTTCCGCCACACGCTTGGTGCCCGACTCGGAGAGGCTGGCGATGTACTCGGGGAAGGTGAGCACCTTGGGGTCCCGCTCCCGCTCCTCCGACTCGTCAGAGGGGGAGTTGCCTGGGGAAGGGGAAAAGAGGGGCACTGGGGTGGGCTCCAAGCCATCGATAAGGGGATGGGAGGGGGTCAGAGCCCTGCCTTGTGCCCAGGAGACAGGCAGTGGTGCCCAGAGACCCTCCTGGATCCTTAAGTGTTCCCCGCTTGCTCTGTAGGGATGAAACGCTTACTGGTCTTCAGAGGACTGGAAAGTCCTCCCTAGCCTTTACCATTACAGGTCCTTTTGTCTCCCTGTGCCTCAGTTTCCCCTGCCCCAGTACTTCACCTGGCACTGGGATGGGCCACCCTTGCAGCAGGTCCCCACGAGAGGGAGCCTCCTTCATGTGGCTGGAGACTCATGAAGGACCTGCCTGCACACCTTCACCCCACACTGATGCCCCAACAAAGTCTCCTGCCAAACCACTCCACTGCAACAGCCTTCCTGGCCCTACAGTTGATTTATTCACTCAACTCCCTCAGCTCCCAAGAACCTCCACCCAAGTCAATGTGACAGAGGAAGCTGGAGACCAGAGATGATGAGTGTCAGACCAGAGTGCACAGCAACGATGCTTACTCGGTTCTTCTCCCTAAAAGGTCTCCAGCCAGCAGCACTGAAGAGCTCAAAACAAGCAGGGAAGACTTGACAGTGCCTCACGAGGCCCAGAAAGCTCCCAAGATGGCTACAAAGCCACCAAGCCCCTCTCCAGCCCCTCCAAGCCCACCTGTGTGCTCAGTCTCCATGAAGGGGAAGGGAGATGGGGAGCAGTTCCCTTTGGGGAGCTGGCTCAGTCCTGGCTCCTCCTGCCTCTTCACAGTCATGGGGCATGATGGAGGTGGGCAAAGTTGCAGCCAGATAGGGGAAGAAGAGAGAAGCAAGAAGAAGAGAAGGCTCCAGGGAGACATTCTAGTGGCCTTCCAGTACCTGAAGGGGCTCAGGAAGGTTGAGGAGGGACTTTGGACCAGGGCCGGGCGTGAGAGAACAAGGGGTGATGGCTGGAAACTGGAAGAGGGGAGATTGAGATGAGATGTGAGGAAGAAATTCTTTGGTGTGAGGGTGGTGAGACAGTGTCCCAGGTTGCCCAGAGAAGCTGTGGCTGCTCCTCCCTGGAAGTGTTGAAGGCCAGGTTGGATGAGGCTTTGAGCAACCTGGTCTAGTGGAAGGTGTCCCTGCTGCTGGCAGGGGGGTTGGAACTGGATGATCCTTAAGGTCCCTTCCAACCCAAACCAGGCTGTGCTTCTATGAAAAGCTCTACCAAAGGATGTCCCTGGCTCTGCACCAGAGAAAGAGGGGCCTAGTGGGACCATAGACGACAGTCCAGGCAGGCTTGTGGGATCAGAGGAAGTGAAGAAACCCAAAGCATCCCTGGGGCAGGCTCAGGGCATCACCAGCAGTGGCTTGGTACGGTCTGGCTGCTGTAAGGAACTGCTGGAGATCATGTCCAAGGCTAAATAGGAAGAGCTTCCCATTGCAAGGGTTTGCTGAGATATGGGCCAGCGCAAGCCTGTCCTTGAGTCTCCTGTGAAGAAAACAAGGCTGTTAAATAAAACCTGGGGTACAAGAGCATGGCTGTGCTCCCCCAGAGAGCTGGAAACGGCCCGTGTTGGGCTGGCTGTGAACTGCAGCTCAGCAGGCGCCGAGGGAAAGCAGAGGAGCCAGAGAACGACTTGTCTTTTGCAATTTCTCAATCGATATCCGAGCTCCTGATGTTTGCAAACAAAAAGCAAAGGAGGGAAAGTGGCAGGTGTTCGAGTGAAACCAAAATGTGATCTTGTGGGTGGAAAGAGACTGTCAGACCTGAAAAGGCTCCAAGCAGGAAAATCAAAGAGGAGGAAATTGCAGGAGAAAAAAAAATAAAAATAAAAAAATACTTGCAATCAGAAGATGTTACATCTGGAGATTGCCTGCAGCAAAACAGCAACAGCTCTTCACTCTCACAGGTGGGCTTGGGAAGGAGGCCAGGCTCCAGGAGGTCTGAGCTTGCAGGATCCAGATTTAGGCTCAGAAAGGAGCTTTTCCCACACCAAGAGCCACAGAAAGAAAAATATCTCCACGGCTGGGGCACAGCAAGAACATCACCGTAGGCTGGTGCCAGCACTAAGAATTATGAAGCTTTATGATGGAAATGATAAAGCTCCATCACCGGTGGTCATGGTGCCTGTGAGCTCCAAGCTCATGCTGTCTCCACCCAGGAGCTCCTGTTATGAGGACAGCAAACCAAGGTCACCTACAAAGCAGCAGCTCTGCTCAGCATCCCCCGTGTCTGGGGTTGGCAGCTGGCTCTCCCTTGCTGCCCAAGCCTGGGTGGGGGAACCTAACCTTCCCAGCACAGGCAGCAAAACACCAGCAGGCAGCTTTGCAAATGCCAGCACAAGAGGAGATGCCATGGTCCTGGTGACAGCTGGCCACAGATGGGCATCAGACTGCCTCTGCTTTTAGAAAGCTCATGTCCAAACCAGTCATCACCCACCTGCAAAATCCCTTCCACGGGGAAGTCATCGCACCGGAGCGAGGGCTCCGGAGGGGACCACAGAACCCCAGAATTGCCTGGATTGGAAAAGCCCTTTAAGATCATCAAGTCCAATCACGAACCCAACACTGACAAGTCCCCTAAACCATGACTAAACCGTGTCTGGATGCAGCAGTGCCAGATGCCCTCTGCACTGTGGTGAACTCCCAGTTCACAACTGGTTTCCAGATATTAAAACCAGCGCCGACAGCTTGAGAGAAGAAAGCGCATTAGAGGGAGAAAAGTCTGGCCGCAGGATGGAAATGGAAATGGAAAAGAGGAGATATGGCAGAGACAAAAGGAAGGAAGGAACAGGACTAAAGACAAAGAAGTCCAGAATCAGGCAGGAGGGCTGGTGGGATTAGTGCATTTGTCTTTCATCTCCCTGGGGATGTGGGTATTTATGTTCCTTTCTGGCCCAGACTAACACCTGCTGCAGTCCCTGGGGGTCCTTCAGCCACGTCAAAGGGTGCAAGAGCAGGATGGAAACATGAGGATGGGATGGGACGCAGCCCTGACGTGGGCTGGGTACTTTCCCTGCTATTCCAAAAGCAAACACATCTTCCCACTCCCACTGGGTGGCTGTGGGGACCCTTCCTGGGGACAAGTGAGGCTCCTACCTTTGCTGATGTCCTCATACTCCAGCCAGAGCTGCCGCTGGACCTGCCTGTTGGGATACCAGATGGAGCAGGACTCCTCAAAGCCGTACACTGCCTCCTGGATATAGTGGTTGCCAAACTGGTCCAGCAGCGCCACGAAATCTCCACGGGACGTGGCCCCATCCAGAGAGTGAAGTGCGTTGCTGAAAGCTGGGGAGAAGATGGGAGGAGATGCTCAGGTCTCAAGCCTTTGCCACCTCCCTACACACTCGTGATGGGCAACCAATCTCTGAGCCCAACACCTGCCAGAAGAAGGCTCTATGTCCTCTCACCACCCCTTTTTCCCCGCCAGCCCCACACGCTTACACTGGGAGATGGTCAGCTGGTTGAGCCGGACATGGTACATGATGGACTGGACCTTCCAGTGTTGCAAGAGGGGGTACCCGGACACCTCGCTGAAGTTCACCATCCCTGTTGGAGAGAGGACATGAGTGCTCAGTGTCACTCCCCAGGGACACCTTGCTGTGGTGACACCGGGGTGGCCACAGCTCCTTGTGCCATACCTGGGTGGGAAGGGGCTGGGGGAAGGACAGTGCACACAGTACGTCCCCCCAGGGAAGCAGCGAGGCATTCGGAGCTGAGGGTCAGCTGATCCCTGGCAATTAAAACCAGGGCTTTGAAGGAAAACACGTGGACTCGTTTCATCTGCCGTCCAGGGCTCTGTGTTGGAAGATAACGAGCCTCCTCCTGCATCCCCTCCTGCATCCTTCCCAACCCCCTCTCCCAAGACATGCCCAGGTGTACTAATTATTTCACTAATGAGAGCTGCGCTTTTTAATGAGCTGTTTTCAAGCCTGGGAACTGTCACTGTCATGCCATGTAAGGTCGGATGCAGCCAACTGAGAAGTCCTGGGGTCCCCTTCAGTGAGGACTGAGCCAAGCAGGACACACACGTATGGGAGAAACCACACACTAGCTGATGCTTCCACTCCCTCGGGACATTATGGCAATGCTGGAGCTGAGTAGGACATGGGGTTTCTCTCTCTTTGGGCAAAGACATCCCATTCTCCAACCATTTAATGGTGCGTTACAGGAGCCAGACATTTATGGAAACCAGGGCTGGGTGGCCACTTTGTTCTGCTCAAGGCATGAGCCAAGGCACACAGCAGCTCAGCTTCCATGAGCAGAGGGACAGAGGGGCCACCAAGCCTGGACAAAGCCCCAGAGTCATAGGATCATAGACTCACAAAATGGTTTGGGAAGGGACCTTAAAGCTCATCCAGTTCCAACCCCCCTGCCATCAGCAGGGACACCTTCCACTAGACCAGGTTGCTCAAAGCCTCATCCAACCTGGCCGAGAACACTTCCAGGGAGGAGCAGCCACAGCTTCTCTGGGCAACCTGGGCCAGTGTCTCACCACCCTCACACCAAAGAATTTCTTCCTCACATCTCATCTCAATCTACTCTTGTTCTGTTTAAAGCCACTTCCTCTTGTTCTGTCACTCCCTGCCCTTGTCCGAAGTCCCTCCCCAGCCTTCCTGGAGCCCCTTCAGGTACTGGAAGGCCACTAGAAGGTCTCCCTGGAGCCTTCTCTTCTCCACGCTGAACAGCCCCAACTCTCTCAGCCTGTCCTCACAGCAGAGCTGCTCCAGCCCCTGAATCATCCTTGTGGCCTCCTCTGGACTCGTTCTAACTGCTCCATGTCTTTCTTGTGTTGGTGGCCCCAGAACTGGAGGCAGCACTGCAGGTGGGGTCTCAGGAGAGCAGAGTAGAGGGGCAGAATCCCCTCCCTCGACCTGCTGCCCACGCTGCTCTGGGTGCAGCCTGGGACACGGTTATTGGCCTCTGGGCTGTGAGCGCACGTTGCCAGCTCATGTTGAGCTTCTCATCCACCAGCACCCCAAGTCCTTCTCTTCAGAGCTGGTCTCAAGCCACTCATCGCCCAGCCTGTATTTATGTTTGGGATTGTGTCAGCTGAAGGGTGCTCACGACTCTGATTTTGGTGACCAGAGCACCCCATGATGTGCTGCAGCAGGACACTGGGGCACAGCCACCTCCTCCCTCACAGTCCCATGGCTGTAGAGCCAGCACGGCAGGTCTCTGCTCCACAGTGAAACAGCAAACTCTGCAGCTAAACAGCCTCCAGCAGGAACTCAGGAGGGTAACAACGGCCATCCTCAGCTCCATAAGAAGAAATGAAGGTGGAGGATAAGGAGAGCAATATCCTTTGCCTTCCAGTGCCTCTCCCATCAGTGCTGGCTGCTGCCAACAGCCCCAGAGCCCTGCTCCTCCCTGCAAAGTGTTTATGCAAAACCAGCCCTTCCTTACTCAGCAGCTCTGGCTCTCCCGTACTCACAGCAACATCCAGATCTGCTCACTGACAAGCAGAGAACATTTTACTTCTTTTCCTTTTTTTTTTTTTTTGCCTTAATCAGACACAAGCAGCCAGCAGAGCAGTGGGAGATGAATAGGATCATTTACTGGCTTTTGCCTCACCGGCATCATTGCCAGTGGAATCTCAGTCCCACCAACCCTGCTGTGATGCTGGGGCTGTGGTGGCAGTGCCTTCCAGAAATCCAGGTAACCACGTTGAGGGCAGCAAAGCCCATCAGGAGGTACATGTCCTACACTGCGATGCCCTGTCAGGGCAACCAGCACCCATCAGACCTTGGGTGCAGCCCACAGGTATTCCCCAAAACCCTTCTGGGGTTTTATTTACACTTTATTTTAAACCTAATACCTGAAAACAGAAACAAGTCTTCAAACCTCTTCCACTAACACTAAATCCACAAGGCAATTCACTTCAGTTGGCCGTAACTACACAAGCTCTGCCAAAGGTTGGGAAAGCACAAGGTCTCGTATGAGAACATCTTCCAAAACACCTTCCTGCTCACATCTCTCACTCAGTATCTGCCCAGTGTCCTCGGCCATTTCAGCTGACAGCAACAAGCACCAAGGAAACCAAGGCTATTTAAGGGTGCTGACAACTTGGTGGAAGGAAGGTAAATCCTTGCAGGTTGTCTTGGAATCCATGGTAACCCTGTCACTCATGTCCTGCCATGCTATGGCAGGACAAACCAAAACATTAGGGATTGGTTGGGGCAGGTTCTGAATGCTTCGTTACACCAGCAGTGGGTTTTAGTTCTGGAAATCAAATGAAAGGTGTTTGGAAAACTTTTTTGCCTTGAATTAAAAAAAAAACCCATCCTTTTTGCAAATAGCCCACATGGATGCTTGAGCTTTGATGTCACCCAATTAATTTACAGCCTCTCCCTTCTCCTTTATTTTTAGAGCTTTTTACCACTGCTGCTGCTGCTGCAGGTGAGCGTGGGATGCTAAAGCCAGACTAGATGTATCCCATGGTAGATATACCCCCTGGGAGGGTCAGGTGCCAAAGCTGGGCATGCTGGCAGCTGCCCTGTTGGGAGAGGTGCAGGTCTGGCCAGACTCACTCACCAGTGAGGAACTCGGGGTCAGGCGTGGGCTCAGAGAGCTCCTCTTGGCATTGGTTCTCCAGAGGCACCGTGGCCACCACCAGCCCATCCGGCAGCTGCTGCTCCAGGCCCCGGGCAAAGTTGTTCTGCCTGGAAGTTAATTGCAAAGAGGAGAACAGGGCTGGAGGACAGGGGAACTGCCTGGGATCATCCCCACCAGCCGGTGACCCATCCCAAAAAGTGACCCAGCACCAAGTCACTTTTGGCACAAAAGCCACTTTGGGCACATAGAATCATAGAATCAGTCTGGTTGGAAAAGACCTTTAAGATCATAGAGTCCAACCAAAAAAGGGTACAAAGATGTTTGCTCTCAATGGAAAGCTTCAGATGTGCCCTCCTCACCAGCCTCTCCATCTCCTGCAAAGCTTGGCCAGACATGGATGGACCAGGCACTTTCCTAAGGTCCAGCCTCAGGCTGCTTCCCATTCCTTCTTCTTGGAGAGGATGGTAAGGTCTGACCCTGCTGGGGTCACCTCCCCAAGTCCCCAACTCACCTGAATGTCCCTTTAAGCACCTGCCCAGGGGCCACCTCCTTGGAGTGGTTGTTGTAGCCATAGAAGATCTCCCCAAAGAGCGTCCGGTTCATGGGCAGCTCACGGGGCTCACCGCAGTCCCCTGCCTCAGGGCATGACTCTGATATGAGCTGGCACGACCGCCCATCCATGCCCAGCTTGTAGTCCTCGATGCACCTGGGAAGCCAGCATATGGTCCACCATCAGCTGGGACTGGGACCACCAGGCCACCTCAGCAGGGATACTGGGAACAGAGGAAACCCTCCTTCCCAACTCTCTGAGCTCAGGTTGGCAGTGACAAGGTCCAGTAGCATTTTGGGGGTGTCCCCGTGCCCAGGGCGGTGATGGGTCGCTCACCCACAGAACATGAGGATGTTGTAGAGCAGGGGATCCTCGGGCAGGGGGACCATCTGCTGCAGGCACAGCTGCTCACAGCCCCCATTGAAGCCATCTGAGCAGTCCACGCCGACGTGACGGTCGTAGCAGCCCGTGCCGTCCTTCATGGGGCTCAGTCCCGTCGGGCACTGGCAGGGGTGGGGGAAGGGAGAAGTGAAACCCCCCCCCACCCCGAGGAAGAAATCTGTCCCCAGGGCTGAGGTGGAGGGGAGGGTTCTATCAGAAATCACAGCCTAGGGGGCTGTGGGATGGATGGTGGCAACACCACCCACAGCTGCAGATGTTCTTCCTGCACCAAAGCCTCTTTGCAGCCCTGGGAAGTGCAGCCCCTGGGGTGGGAACCCCCCAGGTTTCCCCCCCACCAAGGTAATATGCTGGCAGCAACTTCACTCACCAGCACTCAGCTCTGGTGACCACCAAAGCAATGCTCCTCTTTCCAAACCCACCATCTGCCCCACACTCACGGCCTCCCTGCTCCAGGGAGGAGCACAGCAGGACACGCCGGCCCCACAAACCCCTCTGTTTCGGGGCACACCCTCTCCCTGCACAGCAAAGCAGTGGCAGTGGTGACAGGGGACATGTGTGAGTGATGTGGGACCTCCTGGAAAGCCAGCAAGCAGATGGGCATCTCTTCCCACTGCAAAACCAACCCCAAAATATCCATCCTGAGGGAATGGGAAGGGAGGAAGGATGCAGCCCTTCCCCTTCCACCCTCCCTCTCCTTGCTCACACCGAAGGAGATCTGCAGGTCCCCGAGGGACCACGCACCACGCAGCCCGTCGAGTCCAGCTTGCGATCCGAGATGCAGCGGAAGTTCTTGCTGCAGCCCCCGTTATCCCGGGAGCAGTCACGGACGGGGCCAAAGGAGTCAAGGAGGACCTCCAGGCTGTCGAAGGAGGAGGAGGTCATCAGCTCTTCCCTGTGAGGAGAAGGAGGAGGAGGAGGAGGAGGAGGTGTGTCACTGCTCTGATGAGACAGTGTGAATGCATGCATGGTTTTTCTGGAGCTCGGGTTTCCCTCGGGCTGGCAGTGAACTGAACAGCAGCCAAGCTTTTAGAGGGATGCAGGAGCTACTGAGATGATGACAGCTACCTCTGAAGGTTCAGCTTTGCAGGCACTAAAGAGCAGCGGGTTAACAAATGTACTAACCTCCACCTGCAAGATATGGGGTGGGGGTCACCGCTCTCATCATCTCCCATGTGCTTTGGGTTGGTCCTCTCGCTCCAGGGATGCACCACCAATATATTTGTTGAAACATCTCCTGAACACCCTCACCCCACCATCGCACCTACCTGACCTCCACCGCGTCCTCCATCACTGTCATGTCAGTCTTGCACTTGGCCGAGGGGTTGATGGCCAGCTCAGCCGGTGGGATGACGAAGCTCTTGCTCAGCGGTAGCCACATGCCTTCCCCAAGGGTGTAGGTGAACCTGGCAGGGAGAGCAGCAAAGGAGGGAAATGCTGAGCCCAGAGGGCTGCCTCTAGCCAAAACCAAGACCTTGAGCCCACCACTTATCATGCAGGGATGCTAGCCCGAGCAAAGGGGCTGGGTAGGGTAAAGTGGGGTGGCTCCTCCAAATCTACCCAAAGAACCCCAAAAGCACATGTAATTTAGATAATTAAAAAATAAATAAATAAGAAAGAAATGAAAGACACTTTTCTTTTTGGTAGAGAACCTCTTTCAGAGCCTTAACTTCACTCATTACCCCCTGTAGCAATAGGACAAGGGGTGATGGTTTTAAACTACAAGAGGGGAGATTTAGACTGGATGAAAGGAAGAATTTTTTTATGCTGAGGGTGGTGAAACCCTGGCCCAGGTTGCCCAGAGAGGTAGTAGAAGCCCCATCCCTGGAAACATTCAAGGTCAGGTTGGACGGGGCTCTGAGCAACCTCATCTGGTTGAAGATGTCCCTGCTCACTGCAGGGGGGTTGGACTAGATGGTCTTGAAAGGTCCCTTCAACCCCAAACCATTCCATGATTCTTTGATTCATATCACGGATGGAAAAGAGGAACCAGCATCCACCATCCTACATGGCAGCTGTGGTAGGACCTTCCCAGCCCATGCCCACATGTCCCCAGGAGATGGCACAGAACAGCCATGCTCAGCTCTGCCAGCTGGGAGACCAACCTGCCCCTATGCCCTGAGTCATATTTTTGAGCCCCAAAATGTGGCTAACCAGGTTGTCTTTACCACTTACCGAAAAATCTTGTCGGAGGGTTGCTCACCCAGCACCAAGTCGAAGCCACGCTGGAAGATGGTGTATGGCCAAGGCCTGGAAGAGAAACCCAGGAGCATCACACCAGCATCAAGCCTGAAACACTTCCCCCAGTTAGCCTCCAGCTCAAGTGCAGAGGGGTCCTGGGACAAGATGGCTCAAACTAAGCCAGGACAAGGTGGTAAAATAGCCTTACATTCAAGACCTCAATTTTGGAGTTCCTACAGCATCAGATCCCCACCCCAACGGGTTGATGACATATCACGTTCTTCAATTTGGGAAAATCTCACACTTGTGCACACTCAGGTACCACCAACCCAGCTCCTGTTTTAGGGATTTGCATCAGATCCATCAAATTGCAAAAAAACCACCTCAAACCACTGCTGAATCCTCTCTTTGTGAGGCTTTTGCAAAAGAGCAGGTCAGGTCTGGGGCTGCAGCTTCAACACCTGCTTTGGATTCCATTCCCCTTGGATTTCAATTTTTTTCAGGAGAGGAGCTGTGGAAGCCTCAGCCCCCAGGGGACTTCACAAAGGGGTCTAGAAGACAAGTTGGAAGATTAGAGCCAAGCAGGAGGCTGGAGAGCTGATGGTCCCATCTCCTCCACCCCTGCTGCCTTAGATAGCCAAGGGGGACATGCAGACATGACTTGGTGACCAGTTTTGGTGGGACACTGGTGGCTGTGACCCCTTTGGAAGTGCATCCCACGCTGGCAGAGCATCATTTGCAGAGTGAGGTTGACAAGGCAGAGCAAGGGAAGGCACAGACACCCAGCCACCGTGGGCTTTAAATCAAGCGACACAAACCCCACTTCAAATCCCCTTTGCAAGAGCTCAGAAATGAGGAAAGAAAGAAGATTTTCCATCCTGTCACATCGCTGCTGTTAAAATACAGGATGAGAGCGTCGGGTGGTGCTGACAAGCCCAAGGATTTTCTCCAGAGGCAATTACAGCTCTGCTGCACAAGCAATTTAATTTCTAATCCGAAGTTATTTCAGTAAGGACATAAAAAAAAAAATAAAATTAAAAAAAAATAAATCCTGATTGCAGGATTACAGCGCGCCGTCTCATTTCCTCGCTGGGATACAATGCCGCTTTCCCGTCCGGTCGGCTGGGAGCAGGGGATTACACTCAGCCTGCAGATCTGATTGCCTGGAACGAGGTCAGCTTTGGCTGGAAAGCGATGTGCTCCTTGCCTCTCACCAACACCTTGAGCACATCGCAGCTCCACCTTCCAGTGTTCCCACAGAAGGGTTTTGTTCTTGCTTCTCAAGAGCATGATGGGCAGGGAGCAAAAAGCAGAGGGAATCATAGAATCATGGAATCACAGACTGGTTTGGGTTGGAAGGGACCTTAAAGCTCATCCAGTCCCAACCCCCCTGCCATCAGCAGGGACACCTTCCACTAGACCAGGTTGCTCAAAGCCTCATCCAGCCTGGCCTTAAACACTTCCAGGAAGGGGGCATCAACAACTTCCTTGTGCAACACCGAGAACATCCCCATGTTGCGTTTGTGTCCCTGGCACTGAAGAACTTTGTGTTTGTCCGTCTGCAAGCGCAAGATCTCAGGGGTGAGGGAAGGTCCTGATCCCCATCGGCTCGGGTGGAAAAGCAGTTGTGAAGAGTCACTTTTGGCTTGTGGTGGAGCTCAGCCCCGTGGCTGCCGGACCGCTGCCAGCTGGCACATCTGGCAGCCCATGGATGCTGACACATCTGGGACATGCAGCCAGTGGGCTTGGACCTGCCTGGGAGATGGAAATCAGCGCCCAGGCCAGGTCGCATCCACTCTGTGCAATTTCCAACAACTGTGGCTAAAATTCATATGATGATGACTTTGAGCTGGGGAAGAGGTTTCCATGTTCCAGGAAGGAACTGTGTGGCACCTCCTTAATCTGCCTTACTGTAGTGGTTTCACTGGGCTGGCACTGGGCTAGCAACCAAACACAGCCACTCACTCACTGCCCCTCTCCAGGGGACAAGGGAAGGAACTGGGGGGCAAGGGTAAGAAGACTCGTAGGTTGAGATAAAAACAATCTAATCATTGAAAGAAAAGAAAACTTAAAATAATAATGATATTAAAATAGTAATGATGATAATAATAATAGTAATAAAACATGCAAATGAGTGATACCCAGTGCCATTGCTCACCACCCACTGACCAAGCCCGGCCCGTTCCCAGATCACAATCCCGGAGGAGCCACAATCCCGAACCGAAACAGCAATCCCGGGAGAGCCAGAGCCCAAGCGAAAGCCAGAGAGAGCAAGAGAGGAAGAGCCCCTCATGGATCTCCTGCCCATGGGGGACAGGAGATGGAACAGCCCCTTGGCAGAGCCCAATGCCCATGGAGCTGATCCATTGCAATATTCCTCACCCCTGAGATCTTGCGCTTGCAGACGGACAAACACAAAGTCCTTCAGTGCCAGGGACACAAATGCCAACATGGGGATGTTCTCAGTGTTTCTCTCCTGACAAATCCCAGCTGAACCCAAACCCCAGCGCTGTTCTGGCTGCTGAACAGAACCAGCTCTGGCCCAGCTACAAACCAAGACAATGTGCCTGTACTTGGGATCAAAAAAGTCCCATTAAAAGGGAAGTTCAGCCTTTATCTATGTGCCCACTTGGCAGGGGACAACCACCACTGAGTCTGCAAGGACATGGTACCTTCTGCAGGGAAGCCCTGGAACCATCTCCATAAAGAACTTTGGCTCAATAAGAGGCACTTACCCATCCTAATCTCTGAGGACACTCTCCAGGAGCTCAGCACCGACATTTCCACCCATGAACCCTTGCTGACTCGTGCCTTCTGCTGAAGGGGACTAGGCAAGACCTCCTCCCCCAGACACACCTCACCTCCTCTATCGCTGCCTTTTGCGCCCTGTGCCTCTGCTGCTGTTTCACCCCCTCCTTCCTCTCCCATACTCACAAGTGTGTGTCCAAGTGGCTCTATCCCTCCCCGCTTTCAGTGATCACTGTAGGCACCTCACTCCTCTAGTTGTGGTTGCTCTTGGCAGGTATTTTGGTGGCATGGTCTTCAGAGCTCACAGAGGGAAGAGGGACTGATCAGAAGCAGCTCTGTGCCTGATCAGTTTGGATTAAATAGGCCAGAAATGACAGCTCTTGGCTCCACACAAACCTAAACACCCAGGCAGGCATCCAAACTAAAGACGCTTTTCTCATCCTACGTACCCATCGTACTTGGGACATCAGCCACAGTCTCCGGCAGTCATTTGGGGTAGGGTTAGGGTTGAGAGATCTACAAAGCCTACAGCTCCAGGGACACTGGCACTGGAAAAGGCAGGCCAAGGGGAGCACGGCACTGCTACAACCTTCCTCCTGCCACACTTCTCTCATCCTCTCCACCCCTCCTACTTGGGACATCGGCCACGGTCTCAGGCGGTCATTAGGGCTAGGGTTGAGAGATCTACAAAGCCTACAGCTCCAGGGACACTGGCACTGGAAAAGGCAGGCCAAGGGGAGCACGGCACTCCATCAATGTTTCTTCCTTCCTCACCTTTCTTATCTGGGCCACCCTTGGTACATCCTCAACCCCACACACCATTTGGGTTAGGGTTAGGTTGTGAAGACACAAACAGCATCAGCCAGATTCGTTTAAAACAGCTGAAGAGCAGCACAAAGAAAACAGCTGATCAAATGTATCTGCTACTCATGATCAAAAAGATCTTCTTTTTTGAGAAATTGATGAAGATTTAGGGACCGGATGCCTTGGGTAACAGACATACCACAGCAGTGTGGATCTCAGCATGGTACCCTAAATAAACCCAAACACACAAAGCCTCGCTGCCATCGCCAATGAAGTTCAAAAATGAGCTCATGAGCAAAATTAGATGCTGCTGAGTGAACAGACACTCAGTCAACCCACAACCACTGTAAATAAAAAGAAAGCCATGGCAAACCTATCTAAACCAAAAGGTTGAAATGAGTTTTCAGATAAAAATGCCACCCTAGGAGAACAAAAGAGGTCACAGTCAGACCACGTTGCTCCCAAGCACGCTGAGGGACTTGGCAAAGTCCCCAGGTCCTGCTTTGCTGACCTCTCCTTTGCTAAGAGCCAACGTGGCTTCTCCAGGGACTGACTCAGCGCCTGGCGTGTGCTACCACGTCGCCCTGATATTGGAGGGGTTAGGAGTGTGCTACACAAACAATGGTCAGAAACGATTCAGGCACAGCTGATCTCACCTTGGGACAAGGGGAGAGAGTAGAGGACCTGTAGACATCTCTTTCAGATGACCCTTTGGGCAACCTTGTTGGGAGCAAGCTGATGAGTTTGACAAAAGACAGCGTGACCTGGCAGCTCAACCTCCATCCCAAAAAACGTAAATACCAGGTTAAAGTTACAAGTTATTCAGTTCAAGACAGAGACCTGTGGGAGCAGGTTCAGAGGAGGCCACAAAAGTGATCAGAGGGCTGGAACAGCTCTGCTGTGAAGAAGGGCTGAGAGAGTTGGGGTTGTTCAGCATGGTTGAAGCTTCGAGAGAGACCTTATTGAGGCCTTTCAATATCTAAAAGGGGGTTTATAAGAAAATGGAGACTTTCCAGCAGGGCCTGTAGCAATAGGACAAGGGGTGATGGTTTTAAACTACAAGAGGAGAGATTTAGACTGGATAAAAAGAAGAAATTTTTTATACTGAGGGTGGTGAAACCCTGGCCCAGGTTGCCCAGAGAGGTGGTAGAAGCCCCATCCCTGGAAACAGTCAAGGTCAGGTTGAATGGGGCTCTGAGCGACCCGATCTGGTTGAAGATGTCCCTGCTCACTGCAGGGGGGTTGGACTGGATGGCCTTGAAAGGTCCCTTCCACCCAAACCATTCCATGATCCCATAAAGGGGCTGTGACAAGATGGTTCTGCTGGACCAAAGAGAGTTCATCACAGATACAACCCTGTGGAGGTCAAGGGTTCACAGGGAACACCTTGGACGGGTAGAAGAGACCACCATCATCACAAGCCCTTGCAGGCAGGGCTGCACCAAGCAGCACCTGGACACCAGGGACAGACTGCAGCGCAGAAAAAAAATCCTCATTAAACATCAAGCTGTCCGCGGCATCACAATGCTCAGCATGGACACGCTTTCAAGAGCCCCTACAAACAGTGGAAGCTGCAGAGAGGGATAGTTGAGTTAGGTGTCGTTTCAGCTGCTACCAGTTCTGAAACAAAAATCTGACATGTTCAAGGAGGAAACACAAAATGAACCCAGTTTCAAACAACTTGGGAGAGTAGGCTCTCAAAAGGTGGTGCTGAAAAAGCCCCAACACTGCAGCGTTGGAGCCTTCTTGAGAGCCCAGAGAAGGACAGGACTTTGATGGCCCCACCATGATCTAGGGCTGTGTTGCACCTTGGGGAAAAAGACATCTGCTAGGTTTCTCTGCCCCAAATAGATCAGCATGCTGGAAATGCTGTGTGTGATTTGTCATACCCAACTTTGGTATGTAGGAAGAGACCCAAGACAACACGTAGCCTGGCCAGGTATGAACACTGCTGCAGGAGGAAAGGCAGAATCTCAAGTGTGAGCATGGAGAAGGCTTCTGTAAGGACATTAGGATGGAGTTGGGTCTGAAAAGTGGCCCCAAATCCCCTGGAGGAATGCAGCAGATCCTAAGCACCTTTCAGGTTTATACTAAAGCTGAGTCTGGAGCAGCCAACAGGTCCAGAGGGCTGCAGGAATGGATTTGTCCTTCCTGTCCTTGGCTTCTCTCCTTGTTACCATCCATATTTTTTCCGAACTCACCTGTGAGCAGCCTTTTCTCCCCTTTCCCTTTAGCTGATGGAGGAGCTGGATTGGGAAGAAGCTAGAGAAGAGCAATGTGCATGGGAGGAAAGTGTGAAGCTGCAGTCTCACGCCCAGGAGCAACAGAAAAGCAGAGGGGACTGAAGCTGTGTGTATCCAATTTTACTACCTGCCTCAATTGACAAAGTCATTTGCCCTCTTGCTTTTTGCAAGGCAGTAGGTCCAGCATGTTGCTGGTGGCTCTGACCAAGGCATGGGCTGGCACCAAAGCCACGGGTGGTCATGGGTGGCTGTGGGCTCTTTCCTCTCTGAGATATTCCTTTCCATTCTTTCCACTCTGAGACACTCCTAAACCCAAAACAACCCAAAATGAGCAAGTCTTTGGCAGGGGGAATGAATCCTCCCATGACTCAGTCCCCCATCACTCAGTGCCTCCTATTAGATGGGCACAGAGGAGCTGGGGACATCCCTGTCAGACACTTGTCCCCTGGGGCTGAGCAGGGCAAGGAGCTGTATTTCTACCTGTATTTTCCCACGCCGGCAGTGGTACCTCATGGTGGTTTGGGGACCCTGACCACACCACTCCGCACAAGCCCAGCACAGGGTCACTTATCTCATGAGCATCACCCTGTCCCCAATCTGGCTCCCAGGGCACCCACAACAGCCACCCCTGTCTCCGCAGCCAGTGCTCCTCACTGGGTTTAATCCCTAAATTGCTTTTAAAATGAAAAAAAACCCCACACAGAGAGGGGGTTGGAGGCAGAGGAGCAGTGCTCTCCCCAGGTCCCAGTTCAAAGGGACGCAGCTGGGGCTGGCCAGCGCGGGCAGCCCCCCGTGGTTGCCATCCTCCAGCACAGCGGGGATGCAGCCAAGCCCAGCCTTTGATGGTTTTCTCTTCCTGCTGTGAAGATTAATGACTTCAGAGAGGGTGCCCTGCCACCACTGCTGCAGATCCAGCTACGGCACAACAAGATAAGGGGAGGAAAAAGGGGGTTGGAGGTGCCGGTGCATGTAGGACCTCTGGTTTTGGGGGTGTCTTGGCTTTCTGCACACTACCCCCAGCCATCCCTGGAAGTCCCCATCTGCACATCAGAGACCCATGAGTGTTAAGTACCAGATGGAACATCCCTTGAGAGTCACAAGGAGATGGGAACCTTTGGGATCCCCCACCAAATTGGTGCTGAAACATCAGAAAAATTTCCCTTTGCACTCGCAGGGGTGTAGAGCTGCATAGCACAGGGTGACTGCTCAGTTCCCTCTGGCCATGCACTGAAGCATCTAATTTGCCCCAATTTTCAGTGAGGTGTCCCCATCCTGCAGCCTCCCTCCTCTGCCAAGGACCACAGCCCAATGTCACCTCTCCTCCAACACCTTGCACACCCAAACCAAAAGCCCCACCAAGCACAGGATGCCAAGGAGAGTGCCTGCAAGGGGAAAAGGAGCAGCCTCCATCTTTTCCAGGGGCTGTTTACTCTGAAACCTAACAATGGCCTCTTCTACATCATCTCTGATTATTTTAAAGAACACAAATCCTCCCCTCCTGCAGACCTGCTGCAGAGCCCAGCCATGTGCTGACCTCACGATTCACCAACATGCCTCTAACTGTGTCACCCAAGAGGATTTGCCACAGCCTGTGGAAAAGACTGTTGAAGCCCAGCAGCTCGTGTGAGGCTGGTCCAAGCCTGGGCACACTGCTGCAGGCACACTCACCCCTGGTTCGTTCCCCACTCGTTCCGGATGCAGAGGTGCTTATGCACGGGGTCCTTCATGTAACCTTCATAGCAGAGACACTCACCTATGGAGAGACACAGGGGACATGAGGGACACAGGAGGACATGGCTTTCCATCTCCATCCCAGCCTGCAGACACCTGGGCCACCCAGAAGCTCCATTCTCATACGTGGAACAAAGCAAGAAAGCATCTTCCCACCAAAACTGAGTTGAGCAGGCAGAGGGGAGCTCCCAAACCCATCCCAACCGCCTGACCACCCACCGGTCTCGGGGTCGCACTGGTGCTCGCAGGGGTCGAGGAGACGCCGAGCGCAGAGGTCCAGGGCCCAGGGCCCACTGGAGTTTTGCTGGGAGAAGAGGACAACCTGTGCTGGGTTCAGCCAGTCACTGGCATCCAGCTGGCTCCCCTCCAGCAGGATGAACCGGCTCCCTGCCACCAAAAGGAGAGTCAGTGGCGGTGACCCGCTGCTGTCCCCTCCATCCCATCATGGTCCTCTGCATCCTGTAATGGACCCCTCCATCCCATGGCAGTTCCTTCCATCCTGTGATGCTTCCCTCCATCCCATGATGGTCCCCACCATCCAATAATGAGCCTCTCCATCCCATAATCGACCCCTCCATCTCATGCCCATCTCCTCCATCCTCTGGTGGTCACCTTCATCTCGTGATGGTCCCTTCCAATCCATGATGGACTCCTCCATCTCTTCCAACCTGAGACGGTGCCCTCTACCCCACAACAGCCCCTCCTGTTCTGCAATGAGCTCCCCTGTCTCGTGCCCATCCCCTCTGCCCTGTGATGACTCTCTCCATCCCACGCCTGCCCTCTCCATCCTGTGACAGCCCTCTCCATCTTGCACCTGTCCCTTCCATCCCATAATGTCCCCCTCAGTCCTGTGCCCATCCCCTCCATCCTGCACCCATCCTCTGTGTCCCACACTGGTACCCTCCATTCCACATCTGACCCCTCCATCCTGCATCCATCACCTCCATTCCATGACAGTCATCTCCATCCTGCACCTGTCCCCTCTGTCCTGTGCCCTTCCCCTCCATCCTGCACCCATCCTGCACCCATCCTGCATCTGTCCTCTCCATCATTCCCTCCTCCTCTCCATTACAGCTCGCAGAGTGCAGCAGGAGGAGGTGGGTAGGACCACGGGGCACTCACCATCAGCGATGAGGTGCTCGGGGACGTGGAGGGTGATCTTGACAACCAGGGGACAGTTCATGTGGGAGGAGCACACCAGGCTGATGACACAGCTCGTCACGCTGATGAGGGTCAGTGTGGTCTTGTTCACGGGGCTGCGTGGGGAGCCCACTGCAAAACACAAAAGCACAGTCAAACCTCAGACACAAGGGACCCAAGAAGATCTTGGGGTGCAAGCAAAGGATCTCAGGGTGCAGACACCTTGCCCAGACCCATGGAAATCCAGTGTGAATCCAATTAAGTGAAGTCACTTTGGATTTTCAAGAGCATGGAGCAGCCTTTGCCATGGCAGCCCCTCCTCAAGGTCTCTCTCACCCTGGCTCTCCCACACCCCTGCACCACCGCACACCAAGACCTTTGCAGCAGCAGGACTTTAAACCAGAGCAGAGATATTGCAGAGAAGGAAGGTAAACGCATTATCCCTTTTTTTCTCCCCTCCTTCTTCTCAGCACTTCTCCTGGGTTAATTTTGCTGTGACAACAGCCTCCTGGATGCCTTTGAAGAAGCACCAGAGAGCCCTAACTGCTCAGGGCACACAGCAGGTCTTTGACTTTTCATCTCTCAGCTAAAGAAGCTGAGCAAGAAAAAGTTATCTGAGGACTGGGATATTCCCTGTGGAGACAAAGTCTGAACTGCCCTCCCACCATCCAGCATGGGTGGTGGGGGTGAAGGAGATGGCTCCCAGGCCCACCACTCCCAGAAAAACAAGACACTATCCAGAGAAGGAAGGAAAACTGACTGAAACTCTTCTCTCCAGGTGCGGAGATCTCCCAAAGGGATGGTGCAGGGTGAGACCCCTGCCCAAGGACCAAGCCTGTCTCCATCCCTGGTTGCACATACAGTATGTGCACCATGCCAGAGTGAACCCACAGCTCATGGGCCAGCCTGTGAAGCATGATACTCAACACCCACCAAAGCCCAGCAGAAGCCTCCAGTAAAAACCAGAATGTATGTCATTCTCTGCTGAGAAACCCCACCATAAACCAGCAGCAGTCCACTGTGGGAACTGGGACCAGCACCTGCCCACGGCAACCCAGATCGTGCCTGGGCTTCCATCTTTTGTTGATGGAAAGTCTCCAGATCCAGAGAGGTGATGGCTAACAAGGCAAAAGGGGTCATGGCTCACCACCCACCTCTGTGCCTGCACCCACCTCGGCTGCGCCTCCGGCTCCGTGAGGGGTCCGTGTAGAAGGTCAGCTGGGGGTCGGTGTCTGCCTCCGTCCCCGAGTCCCCCTCGGGGTTGAGAAACGCTGAGCCGGCTGCAGGAGACACCGAGTGTGGTCACAGCAGGGCTGGCACCACGCCACTTCAAGCAGCAACATCCTACATCATCCCTTCAGGGCGAGCCTTGCCTTGAGGACCAGCAGCCCTGCCTGCCAGGTGCAGTGGGGACAGCATCTTCTCCCCTTCCCACCACACATGGTCATGCTCCCTGCCATGGTTCCCATCACTTTGCAACTTTTCCCCGTGGCCATGAAGGTATCATAAAACATTCACAATGGCCAACACCCTCTGCATCTTCGCAACCAACCAACCCAACATCATTTCCATCCCTGCAGACAATACTTTTCTGCTTCCCCCCACCCAAACCTTCATTCCCATGCTCTCACCCAACACTGGCCCCATTTCTCCATCCCAGGAGAGAGTGAGTGGCTAGACCATGGGTGGTGGAAGCTCAGAGCACCCCATCTACCTCCGGGGACACCCCTACCTCGTGCTTTGTTGTTGATGCGCTTGCGCTGGCTGCTGGAGGTGTGGGACAGCAGCGTGGTTTGCTGGTGGTTGGAGTCCACGGGACTGGTGGCGATGATGTTGTCCTTGTACTTGTTCATCAGGGACAGCTTGGCATTATCGCTCCCTGGGGAGCAAGAATTGAAGGCAAAATCTTTCAGGGGTAAAGATTTTAGAAAAGGAGGGAGATGAGAGAGTTTTCCTTGGATCCATCTCCAGCACCTGCATGAGGCAACCAGGGTGCCGTGGCCAACAGGCCAAGCTTCCCCCAAGGCACCCTCACAAGCTCCTCAAAGCCTGAAGGGGACCAGCACCCCCAACAAAGCAGTCAAAAGCTGAGATTTAACATTCACCCTCCTAAGGAACTTCTGCATACCCAAGTCTGTAAAAAACCCCTGGAGAGGTTTAAGAACCATGTCATGGTCTTCCCAAACCATGTCTCAGTTGAGAAGACCCCAGCTGGGTGGCTCAGTTGTTGATATGGTCAATGAGCAAGTGTGTTACAGGCCTCAAAGTATCCCTGCTGATGATCAGAAGACAATGTTAATTCTGAATCATACTGATGGCAAGCATAATTTTGCTACTAAAAACCTCATTTGAAGAAGACACTGGAAATCCTGGAATACAGAAGGGAATTTTGGGGGTTATAATGGGGTAGCTCAGAGGAGACACCGTTCTGGTTCTCCATCATAGAATCATAGAATGGTTTGGGTTGGAAGGGACCTTAAAGATCATCCAGTTCCAACCCCCCTGCCCTCAGCAGGGACACCTTCCACTAGACCAGGTTGCTCAAAGCCTCATCCAGCCTGGCCTTAAACACTTCCAGGGAGGGGGCATCTACAACTTCTCTGGGCAACCTGTTCCAGTGTCTGACCACCCTCACAGTGAAGAACTTCTTCCTAATATCTAATCTAAACCTCCTCTCTTTCAGCTTAAACCCATTTCCCCTTGTTTTGTCATTAACTGCCATTAACAGGCCACAGGAACCACAGCCCTTCCCTCAAAGCTCCATCCTGCATTGTCCCAGTCATGTCCCACTCAGCAGTGACTGCTCTCAACTGGATGCAAGGTCTCCCAGCAACGGAGGTGCCTTCAAAGTGCCACCAACATCTCACACGCAACAAAAAAACAGAGAAACGGGGGAAATGCTCAAGGGAAAACATGTGTATGGAACGATGGAGAGAAGACAAGTTGGAACCGACCCAGCTCAGCCCATAACCCCCGTGCCCCATCCCTACCTGGCGTGAGGTCCATGCTGGCCTTCTCATTGCAGCCCTGCAGTGAGTCCAAGGTGCGGGTGACTTGGCTGGTGAAGTCCTCCCCACCGTTCATGCACTCGCGCTGGAGGTGGTGCCGCAGGTCGGTGATGTCATACTCATAGCCATCCAGGATGGGGGTCTCGCGGATGCTGAGCGTCCCGCTGGAGTTGTGGCCCTGCACGCGGGCGTTGCGCAGGCTCTCCCGCCCGTGGCCCCCGATCAGCACCGAGGGGATGTAGTGGATCTCGTTGGCTGCCTCGGCGCTGGCACTTTTCTGGGGCTGCGGCACCCGGCGTCGCTTGCACCATCGCCGGCGGGTGTAGAGGATCATCACCAGGCAGAGGATGGAGAGCAGCAGGGCAATCATCCCTCCCTGCGGGCACAAACGTGAGCGGGGTTTAGCTGGGGACCAGCACCGGACACCCCCTGGGATGCAAACACACCAGGAATGCTCCAGGGTGGCTGTTCTGCTCTGTAGCTGGGCCAGAGCTGGTTCTGTTCAGC